GATTTTGATGAAGACAATGATAGCAATGAACAACCAACAATAAGCCATAAGGAAGCATCAAAAAGTCTTGAAACTGTTATTGGTAGTAATATTATTCATTATCTACTACTATTAACTATGTTATACTTTCCCATTGTCTGTTTTTTGAAGTTACATATGTCCTTTTAGTTAATGAATAGATGGATGAAAGAGTGAGCGAAATAAAATAAACCAACATTTCTCAAAGATCCATATTGCTGTTTGTTCATAATTCAGCTGTTATTAATTATACTGTGCTCTTATTTTTTAATGATACTATATATAAAGTTTCAAGATGTAAACAAAAAAATTATTGGTTGTGACGTATAGGGAAGTTTTAATATTAACCAAAAAAATTTTTCTTAGCATTAATATTAATAACATTAAATAATAATAAAATAATTTCCTTCGTAGTCCTTTTATACAGTGATGATAATAAATAGAAACAACTGACATTTTCTTAAGTCATAGTACTAGTAGCTATAGTAGTAGTAATATATATTATTAAATAATTATTGTAATTTATATTATCTTGTTAAAGGAAATAAGCCTTATTTATAATTTTACAAATACAGTAGTTAAAATCCCTTAACGATAATATTAATACTAATATAGAATTTGTTGCATCAAACTGTGGATTAATATTTTATAAAACGAACAAAACGAACAAAACAAATAAAATAAAACGAATAAAACGAACAAAACGAACAAAATGAATAAAACCGAATAATTCGAATAAACTGAACAAAACGAATAAAATCGAATAAACCGAATAAATTGAATAAAACGAATAGAATGGACAATTCAAATAAAACTAAACGAATAATTCAAATAAAGAATTTGGATTAATATTAATATTAAAAATTTGCAACTGGAAAATGGCCTATTCTAAAATTTTATCAGAATGCCTGAATTTTATAATAGGATTTTGCTCCCTGGTCTTCATCGCCTTGTTTGATGCTAATACTCTTGTTGTGTAATTAATCAAATAAATCTAGTTATTTAGTCACCTACATTCATTTATCAGTCAGAAGTGAAATTGGATTGGTCAATTCTTTATTATTTGTATTTTAAGTTCAAGTATGTTTTAAGGATATATAAAGTAAATTACAAAATCAAGAAAATAAGTATGTTTTAAGAATTATTAAATTTTTAATTGTAAAATAAGTATATTCGTACATGTTTTGCAAATAATTAATGAATCATCTTTTTTTGATTTGAGTTAGTAGGAAATAAGTAGGAAATACACTACCTGGAAGAAAGTATCCGGACGCACCTTTTTGATAATTCCGCAAAATTTTACATAGCACAAAAAAAAATTTTTTACATCAATTTTTAGCCTAGGTTCTTACGATCATGTATATAAATTTTAATGTTTTTAGCATATATATAAAATTCTCAGTTAAAAAAAACCGAAATACAATTAAAATCGTAATAATGATGATCAACAAAATTTGACGAAAAATTTATTTAAAAATTAAAAATTAAATTCAATATTTTGTAGCCCATCCTTTATTTGCAATGCATGCCTCAATTCTCCTTGGCATGCTTTCAATTAAATTAAGATATTTCTCTCAAGGAATTTTTGACCACTCCTCTTTCAAAGCAATCTCTAATTCTGTTGGATTTTTAGGATGGCTATTTCTTTTTTTCAATTGCCTTTCAAGTTCAGCCCAAAGATGTTCAATTGGGTTAAGGTCTGGTGATTGAGAAGACCAATCTGGTAGTACTTTAATTTTTTTTCGCATAATCCAATTTTTTACATCTTTGGCAGTATGGACAGGTGCATTGTCATCTTGAAATAAATAACACCTGCCATTAAATTGTTTTCCAATTGTTGGTAGTAAATCATTTTCTAAAATTTTTATATAGTCAAGGCGATTCATTTTACCTTCAACTTTAACCAATGGTCCCAATCCCTTTTCAGAAAAACATCACCATACCATTATTCCACCACCACCATGCTTAACAGAAGGAACCATATTTTCAACGTTATAACGTGTACCATCTGTACGCCAGACACGGTTTGGTCCATCATTTCTAAAAATCTTGAATCTTGATTCATTACTGTCTTCCACTTTGTAACTTTCCAAGCTCTTCTTTCTAAACACCATTTCAGTCGATTTTTCCTTTGTTTCTCTGTTAATAATGGTTTTACAGCTGTGATACGAGAGAAAATTCCAAGTTTGTGAAAGTTTTTGCGAATCATTTTTGTTGAAACTTCAATACTAGTGGCCTCAGCAAATTTGTTTTTAATTTCATTCGCACTTCTATGATTATATGGGGCATGGACAATAGAAAGGGACCAAACGTCAAAAATCATGATTTTGAGAAAATCGGAAAAAAAGATCTACATTTCAAGTACACAGTGTATCTCGGTTTAGCGGATAAGTTCGTTCCAAAAAAATTATCGCTAAATCGAGATATCCGCAAAACCGAGATATGATGAAACAATCACGTGATACGTTGTACAATAATACTAATACTAATATTTATTTATCACAATAAAATAAATAATGAATAATACATACGACAAATAAAATATACATGGTAACAATAATAAGTATAATAATAAATAATTTATTCATTCATAAAATAATCCTCCATCCTTGTTTGTACTTTTTCTTGAAAACTTTTATGAGAAATTTCCCTTTTCAATTTATTGACACTTTTAATTATTTGAAAATCAATTTCTAAATTTTTTTGTTGAACATATTTAAGTGCCACTTCCAAACCTTTTATGGCTTCTGTACCAGTAACTATTGGTTCAGGTTCGTCTGTTTCATTGTCATCTTCATTCTCTGATCGCTGTTTTACAATTTTCACAATCTCATCATCTGTCATTTCTTCTTGAACAACAAGATTTTGATCAATGGTGATAAATTCATCAGCATTTAGATGATCTGTAAAGGGGAGTTCATTGATTAAATCATTTATTTCATTTATTTCCGATTCTTGGTTTGAATCTTCAGCTACTGAACTATTATAATTAATAATTTTAGTTTTATTCCAGCTACTTTTAATTGTTTCAACTGTTACTTGATTCCAAGCATTAGATATGAAATTAATAGCATCGAAAATATTTATATCTGGTACTTGATCATTCTCTGATTCTTGGTAGGCCTTAATTCTATTTTGACAAAGGATTTTTCTGTATTTTGACTGCAAAGATAAAAAATTTTAAAATTAATGTGTTAGATAGAACTATTAATAAAATTTTGTTAATTACCTTTAAACTATAGATTATTCCCTGATCTAGAGGTTGCAGGATAGATGTAGTATTAGGAGGGAAAAAATGGACTCGTATATTAGATAAAGAAGGTATATTTTCGGTATTATGAGAACTTGCATTATCCAAGAGCAAGATTATGTTTCTATTCTTTTGAACCATTATACTATTGAATCTTTCTAAATAATGTTTAAAAATGCTTCTTTGCATCCATGCTTTAGCATTCCAGTAATACCATACTGGAAGTGTATTTTTGGAAATGCCTCTCAAAGGTCGTGGGTTTTCGTATTTATGGATAAAAAGCACAGGTAGCTTTTCTCCAGTCAAACTGCAAGTAAGCATAGCAGTTATACGATCTTTAGGACATTTTTTTCCTAAGGTTGGTGCATGGGCAATTGTTTTATTAGGCTCTAGTCTCCAGTATATTGCAGTTTCGTCACAATTCCATATATCTTCTGGGTCATATTCTTGTAGGACTTCTTGAAGTTCGTTTTGCATGCTAGAAATTTCATTGATAGGAGCACTCAATGATTCACCCCTCTTTTTAAAACTATGCAAATTATTTCTATTTTTAAATTTTTCTAGCCACCCTAAAGAAGCATTGAAATTATTAATTTCGAAATGTCTAGCAAACTCTATGGCTTTTTCTTGCATAATGGAACCACTTAATGTTAAATTTCTTGCTAAAAGTTGGTCAACCCAGATTCTCATTGCTTCTTCAACATCAGGGTAATCAGATTTTTTATTTCTATACAGATTAACATTACTTGGGGAACTTTCGTCATAATTTAACCATTGAGAAGACTGTCTCAATATATCCGAAACAGATTGTACAGATATCCCATATTCTTGGGCCAAGTCAATGCCTTTAATATTTGGATTATCTCTTTTTTTTTCGCATAGTTCTCTTTTTTGTATTTTAGTCAATATCTTTCTTTTCTATATGATTTTAAAATGAGAATCAATTAATTTTGATGAATTTTATTTAACAAATATTTGATTAATTTATTTACTTTAGGCGATTGATTTAGATTTTCTCCTGGTCTGTTTGTTTGTGAAGACATTTTTAATTTTGTTATTACAAGGTTTTTTGATTTTTGTTACAAGCAATTGGAATACCACTCCTTTATATAAGTGATTTATTCATATTATTTATTACAAATCGGTTTTATTACAAATATATCATGAAAATTTTCTGACTTTATACATAAACCCTATTACATCACAAAAATTTCCTGATGTTATGTTTATTATAACTATTTGGTTATAAAGACACTTTCAATTTCTTAAATAAAAACATCAAATATTACAAATCATTAGGAAACTGAGACATCATATTATATTACATCAGAGAAACTTCCTGATATCATTATTATATCAATAATTTTGATCTGTTTGGTTATGAAGAGATATTTTTAGTTTATTACAAATCTATCAAAAAATTTACATCATACGTTTTATTTTCCAATTTAGAATAAATTCGAATTTCATCATTAATTATGTTTGGTGCCTGTATTAGTTAATGATCAACATTATCCGTTATATCGAGATATTTTTATTATGGTCGAACATATAGATTTTTAAAAAAAAAATCCGCTAAATCGAATATATATGAAAAATCCGTTAAATCCGTTAAATCGAGATAAAATAATTATAGAAAGATTTGGTTTTGAAAATTTATCTGTTAAACCCCTAAATCCGCTAAATCGAGATACACTGTGTACCATCTTGATGAGAATCTTATAATTACCCAGCGAGATCTGCTCCGCATTTTGATTTAAAGACATATCAATTAAAAAAAAGTTACCTCTGGTTAGTTATTAACACATCTTTAGAACCAATCATGCTAAACAACATCACTCATCTGTCAAAAAATAAATTGTTTTCCAAAAAAAAAAAATAGGGGTCCCATACATAAATAATCAGACGCGTTGTCGGTCGATCAAATTATATTAATATCTTTTTTAAAAAAAATGTCATATACGACTAAAAAAAGAAAACAAATAAATGTTCACGGCAAGGAAAATACATAAGTATTTATTGTAAAAATGGTGGTGGTGGTGCTATTGCCACCACTCATCACTTTTAGTTATTGTTAAAAGAATGGTGTTGTTACTCTAGCTAATATTATTAAAATAAATGCAAACTAATTATAAAATTTTCATTGATTTTGTACATTTTATATTGTTACAAACCCAGATCAATCCAGACATTAAGGCAAAAAAATACTAATAAAGTAAGTAATAAGAGTAATAAGCAAATCATATTCATCTCAAGTGCAAACTTGACTGTTTCATATATATGTAATTTCCAACCAATAGGAAAATAAAAATATCGAGTCTTTCAAGTCTAGAAAGAAAAGAACAAAATCGGAAGAGACGTCAAGTATGAATCTCTTAATTCAAATGTTGAATTTTTGATATACTGTTTACAATTTAACTAATTTATACTAATTAAATGATCCTGTTTATTCATATACCCATTTTCATTTGTTTTGTACTGAATTAATTCTTTTATATCCATCCCATGCATATTATTAAAAATCAGGTAAGATTAATTTTCATGATAAATATAGTTAATTGTTTATACTATTAAAACACTACTAAGCTTGGCATTTTCTTTACTTTTTTTCTGCAACAAGCATGGTCAGAAGAAGGAACGATTACTCTTTTTTGTTTAGTGAAAGGAGATATGCATTTGCTATTAAGATTAGTAAAAACAAAACTGTGAGCAAGCTCAAGAAGTTAATAAAAGCAGAATTGAGTAATCATTTTGCAAGAATTGATTATAATCAACTTAGACTTTGGAAAGTCAAAATTCTGGACGATAGCTATGAAAAATTGGCTAATCTCACCCTCCAAGACTGTGATGACCTCCTACCAACAAGAAGGATTGGAAAATATTTTATAGAAGAGCCTATTGAAGAGCACATTCATATGGGGCATGCTGCAACAAAACCAGACAAAGTGAACATTGGTATTACAAAGGATTTCAGGGATCAATAGTGTTTGTTTAATATCACAATTGTATTACAATGTAATGTGATCATTGATATTTGTCTAGACAAAAATAGTTAATATGAAACTCATTTACATTAGGTCTACTATGGAACCAAAGAATTATAGTACTATTAGAAGTATTTTGAAGAAAGAACAAGGTGAAAAAATTGCTCCTTACATTTTCAAAATAAATGATACTCAGGCACTTGAAGCTTATTTAAAAAAAGAAAAGATTACCTATGAAATTTACCAAGAAGAAAGAAAAAAAATAAATGTTGGAAAAAGAAAGCATCATGATGATGCATTGTTACCTAATAAAAAGCAAAAATCTTTAAAAGGAAAATAATCTTATTATTACATATTGATCTATTTTTTTTTACTGAAGAAAAATCACCTTTATGTAAATGTAATTAACAATCATCTTATTGCATTGCTTATCAATCATTTGAGTTGTTTCAATGAATTCTACGTTTAAGGGTGTTTTATAAAACATCACCAACTACTTATTTTCAGGTAAAAAACAAATCCTTCAATATTCATTGTTAAACACAATTTAAAAAACAAATAATCAATAAATATTTACAATATTTTCATTCACAAAAATGCCTACTTTCAACTGTGAACTTGTTTGCAGATTGTTAATTGGACTCTTGCTTGGTTTCTTACTTCACTATTAAGGCTCCGAACAGATCAGATCAAAACCAGATCAGATCAGATCAGATTTCAGATCAATAATTTTTGTGTCACATCAATTTATATTTTGACACAACACAAAATATGATATTAATACCATATTTGGAAATTAACTTTAATTTGCTTAATTTTGTGCTTATTTATTTTGCATAAAGATAATATAAAAAAAATAATTTTTTTTTACATAAAAATAGAAAAACAAAATTTTTTTTCAACTTTTTAATACCCCTTTTAACCAAATTTTGAGGCACATGCAATAAAGAAAATTGTTAATAAGAATCATTAAAATTATCACTAAGACCATCATTAAAAACATTTGAAAGGTATTTTTATGCAAAGAAATTTATCATTATTATATTATTGGATTTTTTCAATAAAGGATATTAATAGGTATCATAAATTTGTATATATACAGATCAAACAGATCAAACAGATCAGATCGGATTTCAGATCAGATTTCAGATCAGATCAGATCGGATTTCAGATCAGGTCAGGTCAGATCAGATCGGATTTCAGATCAGGTCAGGTCAGATCAGATCGGATTTCAGATCAGGTCAGATCAGATCGGATTATATTTCAGATCAGATCAGATTTCATTCAAATCTGATCTGATCTGATCTGTTAGGAGCCTTACTTTCAAAGATGTTGGGTGTTACATGTGATAATGCAAAAAAATGGATACTTTATTTGAGAATTTTGAAATCCTTTGTGAAGAAGAAGGCATAAAATTTGATGCATCTAATCAAAGAGTGAGTTGTTTGGCACATATAATTAACTTGGCAGCACAATCTACTTTAAAAAGTTTAAAGTGTCTTGCTCCAGAAGAAGAATCATCTGTATTAGATGATGATGATGATGAAACTATGTTCCTGTCAAGTGTTATAAATAATGTTAAATATTTTTAATTTAATTGTTATTTCTCTTTACCATGTTAACATTTTTTTTGTTTATCATTATAGTTAAGAAAATTTGTTATTAAGATCCGATCCTCTCCACAAAAAAGAGAAAAGTTTAAATGACATTGCGAAGCATCTAACATCAAACACCTCCAATTAATACCTGATGTTAAAACACACTGGAATAGCTCTTATGATATGATGAAAGAACATATCAACTTTGCATTGTAAGTTTAAGTATTATAATGGTTTAATAGTTGATGAATTATTTATTTAGCAAATATTTTTTCTAGCCATTGGATGATACTGGATTGACAGATAATGGTCTTAAAGATTATGTGCTGTCAAATTTTGAGTGGGATAAAATAAATGATATTTTAGGTCTTCTTAAGGTAACAATAGTAATAACAATAATGACTAATAGCAATAGTAGTAATAGTAATAACTATAGTAATAATAGTAATAACAGTATTAATTATTATTTCTTCACCACATAGTAATAAATTTCAAATAATATATATTTAATATTTATGCCAGTCAATAATTTTTTTTAAATTATTATAATGTAATTATAAATGTTTCAAGGAAGCCACTAGAGGTTGGAACTGACTAAAATAGTCAACTGACTTTTTTTTAACTATTAAACAACTAATAGTCGACTAATATTAATTATTATTGTCTGGCCAATTATAAATGAAAACGTTTTTTGTGGTATAGTTGGCTTGGTCTAAAGACCTCCTAAATTTTGGGCAATTTTAAAAGTATAGAAGTCACTTTCTGTCCCACCTTTTAAAAAGATAGCTCTATTAGTTGATAGAATATGACTTTAGTTTTAATGTAATAGAGGGATTTTCTCAAAAAATTTATTTGTTGTGGATAAGGATACCGGCTGCAACTTTTGATGATGGTTGCTACCACCTTTACGACCATTTTGTTTCCTTTTTTGGATTGCAACATGGAACACTAGTTGTGGAGTTCTATCCTTTTTTAAAACATGTACTTTACTATGCTTGCAAGGAATTTGTCCACTATGATCCTTTCTAAATTTAGGAAAAATATTACCAAATTTAGACTAGTTCTTGACTATCGTATCTAAATTTGACAGTAAGAAAACTAAAATCATGTGAAGTCCCATTTTTTGAAAATTTTTATTACAATTTTGAACGAATTACAAAATTGCTATTTTTGAAATTTGGCCACATGGCGCAGCAATATGAGGTCTTTAGACCGAGCCAACCATAGTAATTAATTAATTAATTAGAATTAGTTTAACAAGCAAATGGGTTCTTTTACTGCCAAGAGATTTAGTTAAAAGATATTGCGAGTGTGCAATCTGAGTTTCCTAATTAATGGGGTATTTAATGTTAAACACACAGCCTACCTGCTGACTTACAGTTGATTCTATATGACACAAAGCCTACCCGCTGACTTTACAGTAAGTCAAAGTTACTTTTATATGACACACAACCTACCCATTGATCATTACCTTTATGTGACACACAGCCTATGGTCACTAGGTTCTATTTAAATAATTATATCCCAAAGGCGTCCCCTTGAGATGTATCTGAATAATTAAAAGTAATTAAACTTTAATAAAATTAATTTCCAATAATTACATCTTTAACACAATGGAAAAATATCAACACAACCAGTACACTGTAGCAATGGAATTAAAAAGAAACAATATCCAGCTAAAAAAATAAAAGAATAAAATTTTAGAAACAAATAAATAATGAAACACATTCTAATAATGATAAAATTTTATTCTTTTCAAACAAGTCATCTTAAAAGAAATTGAGTTTACTAATGTCATCAGTGCAATTAAACAACATTAAAGAGAATCAAATTGTCGCAGGAATCTTGATGCAGGATGCTATTCATAAATAGAATGAAAATTTTACTATTTCAGACTTAGAAAACAAGAAAAAAAATTACTTTTAATTTCTTGAAAATGAAAGACTGACTAATAAAAGTTATTTTTATTCTAATTCAAGATCAAGAATCTGAAAATTTACTGGAAACCAACATGGATTTCTTATGAATCTTTACTAAGACAAAGTAATGTGTTAATAATATAATATAGTAATATTGATAATTCATTGCTTATTTTTATATTATGATGATGATAATAAATTGCTTATTATTATAAATCAATTACATTGGTGGAAATATATCAAGAAACACAAACTGATATAAAAGTTTTAGACAAAAAATTGGCTCATTAGGAAATTTTGTAAAAACAAAAAGAAATTTGATGCTGGAAAATCATCTAAAGTTACTGGAAATCATAAAAATGATATTGACTGGATTGAGGTAAGTATTATTAAATATTTGATTTGTTGGTTATTAATTATATTGTTAAATAATTTCATTTAAATAGCCATATTGGAAATACATGATTGTTGATTTGTTTCCAGAAAATAAATATCTATCAGAAGAAGCATTTTGTGAAACTGGAGGACAAGTATTAGCTCAAAGACAACCAGAATGCATGCAACTAATGATAAAAATCTGGTCAATGCGATGCATTTTTCATTCTGCTATTAGTTCAACAGTATGCAATTAAGTATTTTGGTTTAATAAGTTTAATATTATAATAACAATAACTTATTAATATAATATATTCTTTAGCTAAAAGAAAAAATGTGAAAATATAGGGGTGATCGAGTTAAGAAAACCAAAACTGTTCTATTTAATTTTTCCAAACAAATTTCCTAAATTCAATTCAAAGACTGATCCTATTATCATAAGTGAATTCAAGAAGTCAGATAATGCAAAATGGTGTCTACATCATCTGAATTCTAGGATATCTGCTGCAAAACCAACAAAATACATTGTTTATGTTACAGCATCATTTACAAAAGATCAATTGGCAACAGATAATGATCAGTATTTCAATTGTTGTATGCCATTTTATGCTTGAAGAAACAATTGTGGGTGTAACCTTGGATCCTGAAAAATTGGATTCTTTAATGAAAAAAATGAAGGTATAAAATTTATTAAATAATATCAATTTATTTTTAGCTATTGAATTTACTCTCAAAATTTTTGATTTTATAAGAAATGCTTAGGGTGATTAGAATATAGCTATTAGAATTGTTGTGATGCAATGTTATACTAAATGTATTAATCAGTGGAATTTAATGTATAATAGAATAATGATTTTTAGTAAATTCAGTGTATAACTTGATTTATGACTTTTATGTAGATTCCATATATATTGCTTACTATTACATTACATTTAACAATAAAGTTATATTATATAGCATGCTTTTATATTATTTATATTATGTTGATCATTTTTCAATTGTTTTAGAATAAATGATGAGTTGCACTTATGAGGTGGGCACAAGTACACTAAATAACAACCTTTCAAATTTTACAAGTATACTCTTTTCACTTCAATATTCCTGGATCCACCTGGAT